CCTTCATTTTGTCGACCCGACGACTCTCAACAGATCTTCATCTCGGTCCACAAACTCAAGGGCGTCAAAGTTGTAAAAATACCGTCTGCACGGCGCGGCGCCCGACTTTGAGTCTAACTTTCGAACTACAGGTGTTTAATGGGCATCTGTGTTCCCACCTGCATACGGTTTGTCTAACATAGCTGCCTTCTGTGCAGCTGCAGAGAAGTCGGTTGACACCAGTCAATAGCTCATGGTTGGGAGTCCGACCTAGACTCCTATTTTGCATGTCGCGAGGGCTGCAGTCACTGTCATGGAGATTCCTTAGTAGTACGAGACAGTGTGATATGTTCTGGGCTCGTCAAATTCCTCGTTTTAGTGCCTTCGTGGGTTTTACACTTCTCAACAACCGCTCGTTGATATCAGCTAACTCTGGGGCATCTCAGACTTGATCCGAAGCAAATGGTAATCGCTGGGACAATGATTTTATTCGCCTGACGTTTCGAAATCCGTCGTGGGTCCATCACCAGAGACAATAGCAGAAACATCTCAAATTGTTTGTGATCATCATGCTTCTTGACTGACTCACTAAAATCACTTTTTAGTATTCGGTACAGCGTTCTTACACAGTTTTTTTTAGTGAAACAGCTAATGTCTGCCGTTAGCATCTACTATTAAGTGCTTAAATCACTTTGCTGCATACTGTAGCTGTTAATTGACTGTCGAGTGGGCGCCAGATGCGGACAACTAGGATGGGAATCCGGAACTCCCATTTTTTTCTCCATCTGGGGTGGTCGCAATCAGTCGTTTTTTTGCAGTATACTATATTATTCCGGCCAATCACAACGAAATGCCATCAACACAGCGCGCCCGAAGTTGGAATTTCGACACTTCGCACATGCATCTTTTAAGAGTTTGGAGAGCCGCTTTAGTAACAAACCCACAGATAGGTGGACCTAACCATATATCCTTCGTTTGCCCACATGTGGTCCCATCAGGCAAGAATGCACTGAGGCGGTACTCCACGACCTATTTTAAATCCCGAGTGCCGTGTGAACTGTTGTTCTCATAACAGGGTTGACTTTTGGACGATGGACGAAAAGGGGACGATAACATTGAATCACAATAGTACCTCGCTCATTTCAGTTATAAGTCTATCTTATGTAGGTAGTGCTTGGCTAAGGTGGCCGGGGTATCTGAGCCTCTGGTCGCGAATTTTGACTTTTTGAACTACCACTACGCAAGCACTTACGTGGACGTCCCTCTGATTGAGACCATTAGCCAAGAAACACATAAACCTTCCTCGTGAATACTTAATCCCTCCATTTGATACTAGACGTTCGTTATTATTTGAAGAAGAAGAAGAACATCTTCAAATTAAAATTTCTTGGGATGCGTGGTTTCCAATTTATATGAGTTTGTTATTGTTTTTACAAACCGTATAGATACTATTACATAGTAAGCAGGCGTTGCGAAACCTTTTCCAATCGACTTTCAAACATTTTAGTTTTCAGCCTCTGAAACGGTCCATGAGGATGAAACATTCGAAAAAGCCACCGTACTGCAGTCAGCTACAGCCTTGGTAATTCTCCGTGCTACCAGCGTCGGCCTCGAGTTCGCTAACAAACCCTCTTCCCTTCCACGAACCGTACTTGTCAGCAAACTGACGCCGTCAATCTTGCTGGAGGCGATCTGCTACGCTATTTATCCACCAACGTTTTGCTTTGGTCCACTGGTATCTTTTAGTGATTGGTGCCTGTGGAGGAAGAAAACACTTCAGGTAATTTACATGCATCGAGCTGAGCAGACGTTTCTTTATATAACAGTTTTTTCCACGACTTGCTCTCAATCCCACCAGACAATAATTACTTCAATACACAGCATACAGTTCTGCAGTGGCAGAAATATTGAGAATGACATGCACGCGCACATGGCAGTTGGACCATCGTTTCCGACAATTTCCATAATGTGTGCCTGAGCGTGAATTAGATCAGAGTGAGGGTAAACTTATGCTGCATCTACCGCTGTCTCTCATCCTTCACCCACTTGGGCCCGGTAACAAGATTCAGTCAAGACGACCGGAGGTGGCAGAGGGCAAGGGTTGTTGGCACGGCTGGGGCCGCCCCTAAGCGTACCGCCACACCTGGTTCTGATCCTCCGGAATGGGAGTGCCTTGGAGGTCACAATAAGAAGGAACCGTTATATTCTGACCCTAAGCCCACCACTTGGCAACTCCACGCAAGCACACTAGGCTGATTGCGGGGTTAGTTAGCAGCCAGCCAAGCCACGCGTTTTAACGCACCATGATAGGT